ATGCACTGATTCAGATAGTTAAATGATTATGTTAAAAACCCGGTATTTATGTGTTTTTTTGTTTTTACTTTCTCGTATGCGAAGTATAGAGGAAGTATTGTAATCGTGCAAAAAAAAAGAGCATTTCACAAATCTCGAGGTTTTACACCTCCATGATTCAGAAAAATATAGTTTTGTAATCTTGTCCGTAAGTCTGTGTGTGTGTGTGCATGTGTGTGTATGTCTGTCTGTGAATACGATAACTTGAGTACCTTTACAGCTAGTTTAATGAAATTTTATTTATAAATATTATATCAAATATAATGTAGTTCTTTCTCAACTGTTCATTGATTTCCGGTAACCGGAAGTGGAACTTAAGCTACTTCAAATTTTTCAAAAGCCTATAACTTTAGTACTGTTTCAGATAATTATGTTTATGAAATTTCACAAGTTGAACGGAAGTAATAGTTTACGCGGTTTCCGGTTGCTCAAAAAAGGTATGTGAATTTATTAAATACTAATAATATTCCGCACTATTATACACATATTGTTTGGCGTTTACTCGATGCGCAATTCATTTTTCTACGAGATTCTATTCTACTTTAAAAAGTTTAAGTAATTAAAAAGAAAGAATAGAGTTTGCCTAGCTATGGAACAGAGAAGCATAGAATCGAGTAGCAATTTATAGGCTGGTCTAGTCTAGTCAAGTTTTGTGTATCGTATTCTCATTTGTAGTCTTCCGTAGTGTACTGTCTTTAGAGTGGTGTCTTGTACATCTGTGCTGTATAACTTAATGTAATACCGAATTGACACCGTTCAAAATCCCCTCTGTCTTGAAAAATTCGATACCACTTTAAGGCTTCACGTCCAGCAAATCTCCGGCAATCTCTGCTCTTCATGGCGGCACAGCCAGTAGCCAAAACACACCGTATTCTCCTAAAAAGAACATTTTCAAAAAGGAAGAGAATACTTACATTGTTGTATGTAATTCATCTCTTTGTATTACTTTCGAAGCTGCTTTTTTACTTTCTCGTATATACGAAGTATAGAGAAAGTCTTGTAATCGTGCAAAAAAAAAAAATCGAGATTTTTGCAAATCTCGACGTTTTACATCTCACTGATACGGAAAAACATAATTTTGCAATCTTGTCCGTATGTCTGTGTGTCTGTGTGTGTGTCTGTGTGTGTGTGTGTCCGTGTGTAAACACGATAACTTGAGTACCGTTACAGCTAGGTTGATGAAATTTCATATATAAGTATTTAATCAAAATCGTAGATCCGTATCAACTTTTGAGCGATTTCCGATAACCGGAAGTGGTACTTTTCCTACTTTGAATTTTTCAAAAGCCTATAACTTGAGTACTATTTCAGATAGATAAAAGAAATTTCATACGTAAGTAAAAGATCTAATTCTCTACCTTCTATTAAATTTTGAGTCATTTCCGTTGACTGGAAGTAGTACTTTACGCTACTTCCGATTTCTCAAAAAACTAATGTAAATTTTAAAAGTAATAATAATATTGCGCACTATTATGCGCTTTTTTATTTCGCGTTCACTTGGTGAGCAATTAATTTGTCTACGAGATTTTATTCTATTTTTAAAACTTTAAGTATTTAAAATGGATTAAAAATCATGTCTATAGCCCGAGTTCCCATCCCCTGTTATTTTATATAAGAATATTCGAGAAAGTTTTGGGGAGATCACTCCCGGTTTATTTGTAAATATTTTTATACTTTTATCTATTGATTGCAGTTCATAGCAAAACAAAAACAAAAAGTATATTCCTAACAGTATAATCTGTGGCGTAATGTATTTTTTATTTATTGATAAGTTTTATCGTGTTGATTATAACGTTCCTTGTATTAAATCATGGTTATGCCCCTTGATAACACCTGATGGCGGCTAGGGTTTTGTTGTAGGTACAACGAGTTGAGCATACATTGATTTGAAACTTAATATTTTAATCACATGGTAGGTTTACTAATGGAAATACCAATTTTACAGAATATAAACCGTTGTGCAGTTTCTTTCAGACATCTTTTCGGAAGATAACTGCCCCTCTAGATGAAAGAAATATAATTAATATACAATTTCAGCGACCTATTTTACGCTAGTTGGCGCCGGCTGATGCAATACTTTAAGAAGATTACATCTATGCGTTACAAACTGTGTATTTTAGGCGGATGACTTTGTTTTCTAAAACCGAGTTATTTAAATATAGATAAAAGTTAGGTTAGGGTTAGATTAGCCGGTCGCCCCTCCTGGGACAAAGGCCGCTGACAGGAGCTTTTCAATGCTTCTCTGTCCTCGGCTAGTATCTCCAACTGTCCCCAGGTGTATCCAATCTTCTTGGTGTCAGGCATTTCTGTCCTGGGCTAGTCTCTCCAACTGTCCCCAGGTGTATCCAATCTTCTTGGTGTCTTTTTCCAGGTCATGTCTCCAGGTCTTTCTTGGTCTGCCTCTCCTCCTCCTGCCGTGTGGATTCCAAGTGAGGGCCTGTCTTCTTATGCTGGATACAGGCTTCCTGAGTGTGTGGCAGTTGATTTGTCCGTTGCCATAGAACATCACTTCAGATGTATTTAGGCCAGCGAATTCGCAGGACCTTTCTGAGGCATGATTTTATAAATGATAGTATTTTTCTTCTTATTTATAGCAGTTATTCTCCATGTCTCAGCTCCATAAAGTACAACAGGTTTAACTAGTGTGTTGAAGATCCGGATTTTTATTCCAAGGGTTAAATCTCCAAAGCCCCAAACATTTTTTAGTTGGTTGAAAACTGCTCTTCTTTTTCCCGTCCTTATTTTTATGTCTGCTTCTGTCACACACTGCTTATCAACAATATATCTAAGGCAGGTAAATCTATCCACTTCTTCTAGGGCTTCTTCTGCCAATGTTATAGGGGTGCTGCTTGAGGCATTGACTTTGATAACTTTACTTTACAAGTCAAGGCATGTAGAAAAATTAGTAACACTGTTGGTTTTATCTTCCATTTGCTGTTGTGTGTGAAAAAGGAGGGCCAGGTCGTAAGCAAAGTCCAGGTCATCCAGCTGGCTCCACAGTGTCCACTGTATGCCGTTTCGCGTTTTCTCTGTTCACATCTTCATAATCCAGTCTATGGCCAGCAGGAACAGGAATGGTGAAAATAGGCAAACCTCCCTTACTTCGGTCCGTATTGGGAAGTCCTCCGTAGTCTGTTGGCCAAGCACTACTCTAAATTTTAGACCTTCAGCTCCCAACTTAGCATTAAAGTATAAGGATGTTTCTTCTAGGGCGGTTCTGGATAATGGTCATTAGACTGTATTAGAATTCATCTTTGTCCTATTCTTTGCTGTCATTTGTTGGGGCGTAGGCCTAAATTATGTCCTTTTAAATCGTCTTATTTTAGTTTTAAAGGTGGCTTTTATGATCCGTGGACAGTGTGCCACCCATGCATAAACAAAGCAAGCGCTATATTACTTGGATCTGAGTGGTTACGGCGCTGGTTTATTCACGTTACCACACAGACGCACCACTGCGTTCTGTATATAGATATATAGTTCTAACAGTGTCCGCTCCTGTCCCGAAAGATTTAGTTCGCCCACTCCCCCCCCCCCCCAACCGAAAATTTTAAGTGACCCCAGCAGAAAAAAGTCTGAAAGAAACTCTACCGCGGTGTTTATATGTACATAATTTTAAATGGCAGAAAATCTATTCCGTCTTAATTATTTCTATATATTGTGTTATTGTGTTCTCTTCTAGTTTTACGCTGTTTCTTTCCCGTATATACAAAGTATTGAGAAAGCCTTGTCATCGTGCAAAAAAAAAATATTTTAATTTTTTTTTTCAAATCTTGACTTTTAACACCCCTATGAGTCGGAAAAACATAATTTTGCAATATTGTTCATATGTCTGTGTGTATGTGTGTGTATGTATGTATGTCTGTAAACACGATAACTTGAGTACCGTTACAGCTAGGTTGATTAAATTTCATATATGAGTATTATATCAAAATTGTAGATATGTGTCAACTTTTGAGCGATTTTCGATAACCGGAAGTGGAATTTTTTCTACTTTAAAATTTTCAAATGCCTATAACTTGAGTTCTATTTCAGTTAGATAAATGAAATCTCACATATAAGTAAAAGATCTAATTCTCTGCCGCCTTCTATCAAAATTTTGAGTAATTTCTGTTGAACGGAAATAGTATTTTTTGCTATTTCCGAGTTATCGAAAAAAGCATTTGAATTTATAAAGTACTAATAATATTCCGCACTATTATGCACATTTTATTTGGCGTTCACTTGGTGTGCAATTATATTTTCTACGAGATTCTATTCTATTATAAAATATTTCAGTAATTAAAAGTGGATTAAAAATATTGTATATATCCTGAGTTGCCATCCCCCGTAGTGTTATATAAGAATATTCGAGAAAGTTTAGGGGAGATAACTCATGGTTTATTAAACTAATGTTTTTAAATACATCTTGCACACGATTTCTATAAAACATAATGTAATGTAGCAATTCATCTTTAGACACCCATCACTACTATGTCATTTAGCCAATTCTTTTCTCTTTATCATGTGCGCTAGTATTAATACTTAATGTATAAATTTCTAAACTTGTTCACCAGCTACTGCTTACTATACTTCACGTTTTAATATTTAGGTGTTAGCGATTATTCTTACCCGCAATGTTTGTCTTTTCCGCAACCTTCACCGTCTTTTGGCGCTAAATTCTTAAAATAACTGCCGCAAACTAGAGTTTACCACACAAAAAAAAAGAAGTCGGTTATACAAAATAAAGCAAAATTTAATTCAAAAAAAGTTTAATCATTTTGAAATAATGCAGGTAATTTAAAATATTCTATTTTTCTTTAAAATTTTGTTTTTCGTTTAAATATTAAATGATTTATTTAACATAATATACAACACAATTTAGAGTAGTTTTATAATTCTTGACATAACAGTTTAATTGTTATATAATGCTTCAAAATGTATGTATATTACTAAAAAAAACCACACGAAGAGTCTCTACTTACATTCAAAATCGTTATTGATATAATCATACGGTTGGTAGTCATAAAAATCATAGCACTGTTTGAGTTCTGATCTGCTTTCGTCAAACGAAAAACCAGTTTTGGAACTTGGGTCGAGATCTTCATAAGGTATATAAATTATAAATGCTTATGAAATAAAACTAAATAGTTTTAATATTTTTAATTAGAAATTTACATCTTAAATGATATTATTAAGATATCCCACAGTAAAACAACCCTTTCAGAAAAGACGGTAGATTGGTCAGATGAAGAGAGTTTATCTTCTGAAGATCACTGTTGACCAGTGGTAAGCACAAAGGCTTTCAGCCCGAAAATAGAAAAAAAAATAGAAAAATAAAGCAATCGAAGAAAAAAGTAAACAAGAGATTATTTATGCTTAGGTTAAAAAAAAAAGATTTAAAAAAAATCTTTATGGTAAGAATTAAAACTAGCTTACACATATCGTGTGTTGGAAAACAAGTCACAGAGCGAATAAATATACGTCCCCTAAATATCCGAAATAATAATGTGTATATACAACGTTATAAAATTAATTACATCCCCATCTATTCCGTCATTCATACCGCTCCAAACAAGAATTACATTTATTATAAACGATAAAAAAACATAACACATATAGTATCTCCCGCCAAACTAACACACACACACACACACACGCGCGCGGACATACGCATATATAACCAGGCCTAACATATTTACTCAAACTTTTAAAATAAACCAGTTATCTAAACTATTCATCCGCCACTTTGGCGGTAGTCTCCCTGCCTTCGTGTCGGGCGAATGAAATGTGGCGACACAGCTGAGCTCACTTGCAGCCTTGAGGGTAACACTCAAGGACGCATGCTACATTGGCTGAAGGATGACCGCGTCCATCGCCATCCACCCGTGGCTTAGTGGCCGTAGATAAAGGACGTTCCTCCAAAGCTTAGGTTAGGTTTAGCTTTGCCTGTCGCACCTCCCTTGAAATATGTCCTGGGCTAGTCTCTCCAACTGTTCGACAGATGTATCAAATCTTCTTGCTGTCTTCTTCCAAGTCATTCCTCCAGGTCTTATATAGTGGTCGGCCTCTTTATTGTTTGACCTTTGGATTCCAAGTGAGGGCCTGTCTTGTTATGCTGGATACAGGCTTCCTGAGTGTGTGGCAAATCCATCTCCATTTCCTCTGGAGGATCTCTTCTTCAGCTGGAAGTTGGTTGGTCCTTTTTTAGGCCAGCGTATTCAAGTGATCTTTCGGAGGCATGCTTTTATCAAAGATTGTATTTTCTTCTTATTAGTTATTCTCCATATCACTCTGACACGAAAGTATCTCGAAATAAATAATAAAAGCCCTATGTTTTTAGACAATCAAATATATAAAAAACAAAAAACAAACGTTTTTTTTTTACCTTTATACACTCTCTAAACCAGATTAATACATTTTAAATATGATTTATTAGAGCAGAATAATTTACACTAGTTCAGACCACTTCAGACTGTAGTCAAACGTGTTTTTAAAAACTACCCGACGCAGCTAACTCTGGCGACTAAAATAAAACAACACAACACCGTCTGAAAAAAAACTTCTCGAGCAGAAAAAAGTATTATACATTTATGAAAAAAATTGAATTATTTCATAATTTTATTTTTAGCTTTTTTACTTTCTCGTATATACGAAGTATAGAGAAAGTCTTGTAATCGTGCAAAAAAAAAAATCGAGATTTTTGCAAATCTCGACGTTTTACATCTCACTGATACGGAAAAACATAATTTTGCAATCTTGTCCGTATGTCTGTGTGTGTGTGTGTTTGTGTGTGTGTGTGTCCGTGTGTAAACACGATAACTTGATTACCGTTACAGCTAGGTTGATTAAATTTCATATATAAGTATTTTATAAAAATCGTAGATCCGTTTTAACTTTTGAGCGATTTCCGATAACCGGAAGTGGTACTTTTCCTACTTTGATTTTTTCAAAAGCCTATAACTTGAGTACTTTTTCAGATAGATAAATGAAATTTGATACGTAAGTAAAAGATCTAATTCTCTACCTATTGTCAAATTGTGAGTAATTTCCGTTGACCGGAAGTACTTATTTACGCTATTTCCGATTTCTCAAAAAACGCATGTAAATTTATAAAGTACTAATAATGTTGCGCACTATTATACACATTTTTATTTAGTGTTCACTTGGTGTGCATTTCTTTTTTCTACGAGATTATATTCTATTTTTACAAGCTTTTATTTAACTCACTTCCTCTGTCGTCGCCAGTCTGTCGTCAGTCTAGATCGAAACGCAGGAGTGAAAATTCGGAAACTTCTACTTGACCGATACGATTCACATTTGACACGTGGGTCAAGACATGAAGACAATGCAATCTGAAATTAAATTTGTCTTAATTGGATGCCTAATTAATTTTTTATGAATTAATTAAAATTTGGACCGAATTAGTAGTCATGTCTAGCCAACCACACCACACGCGTCCTCACGTTTAATAGCTGCGCCATA